CAGCCGGGCGCGGAGAGAAGCGCTCCCTGGCGCGGGGTGCAGCCCGGCCTTGCGGACAGTGCGGTCCAGCCCGCGGAGCGCGGCTGGGGGTGCCAAGTGCCCACCGTGTTGCAGGGGGCCGTGGAGCCCATGCAGATCGACGTGGACCCCCAGGAGGACCCGCAGAATGCGCCCGATGTCAACTACGTGGTGGAGAACCCCACTCTGGTAGGGGCCTGGGCTCTCAACCCCGTGGGGGCCAGGCCAGAAGGGAGCCTCTCAGGGCGCACAGCTCCTGCCTGCAGCCCGCCTACTGGGCCTCATCCTGGGGCCGTCGTTTGGGGGCCAGCAGCCTGTAGCGAGGGCTCCTGACACCCTGCTCCCCCAGGGGCACCCCTGTTTCGGAGGGCCCTGCCTGCTCTGGTGGTCTTTCTCAGCCGTGGGAGGCTCACCCGCTGCCCCACTCTCGCCCAGGACCTGGAGCAGTACGCCGCCAGCTACAGTGGCCTGATGCGCATCGAGCGGCTGCAGTTCATCGCTGACCACTGCCCCCCGCTGCGCGTGGAGGCCCTGAAGATGGCCCTCTCCTTCGTGCAGCGGACCTTCAACGTGGACATGTACGAGGAGGTCCACCGGAAGCTTTCGGAGGCTACCAGGTGAGGCCAGAGGCCTGGCGAGAGAGGCAGAGGCCATGGCAGGACGGGCATCCAGGGCTGGGCTGCCGACCCCTGTGGGGCCTGTCCTGGGTCCTGGCCACACCCCTGCCCCTGCACGGGCGCCGAGGCAGCACTCCGACTGCGTACTGAGGGCGAGGTGCGAGGCCATGGCTGTCCTGAGAAGTCTGGCTCAGTGGATGGACAGGCCGTGCAGGCCCGTGGGTTCCCTGCTCCGTCCGGCCCACATGCCGGCTGACACTTGTGCTGAAGGTGCAGGGGAGGTGGCACTTGATATCCTGCTCCCGCAGCCTGCTCTGGCGGCCTGTCCTCCCCGCCCCCCTGGCCCCATGGCTGGACTCCCTAACGGCTCGGCCCCTCAGGGAGCTGCAGAGCACACCGGATGCCACCGCTGAAAGTGGTGCGGAGCCACCGCCTCTGGACACGGCCTGGGTGGAGGCCACTCGGAAGAAGGCTTTGCTGAAACTGGAGAAGCTGGACACAGACCTAAAGAACTACAAGGGCAACTCCATCAAGGAGAGCATCAGGTTGTGGGGGGCAGGGCAGGGGCAGGGCAGGGCCAGGGCCAGGGGCAGGGCCAGCGGAGGCAGCACTCACAGCCCACCCACAGGCGCGGCCATGATGACCTGGGTGACCACTACCTGGACTGCGGGGACCTCAGCAATGCCCTGAAGTGTTACTCCCGGGCCCGAGACTACTGCACCAGCGCCAAGCATGTCATCACCATGTGCCTGAATGTCATCAAGGTCAGCTCTGCCCGGGCACAGGCTCTGGCATCCCAGGCCAGCGGGGTGCCCAGGCTCAGTCTGGCCTTATTATGTGTCCCCTAGGTCAGCGTCTACTTGCAGAACTGGTCTCACGTGCTTAGCTACGTCAGCAAGGCTGAGTCCACCCCGGAAATTGCTGAGGTGCAGCCCAGGCCGGGGCCCTGGCCACTGCTGGCCTCCCGGGCGTGCCCTCTCCCACCTTGTTCTCCCTGGTCTGCCCATCCCCTGCCTTGCGCTCTTGGGCTCAGGGGGTCCCAAGGTGTGGGGCGCCTGCCTCTCACCTGTGCACCCTCTCCTCTGCAGCAGCGTGGAGAGCGGGACAGCCAGACCCAGGCCATCCTTACAAAGCTCAAGTGTGCGGCAGGTGAGGGCCCGGGCTGCCTGGACGGGGCACAGCACTGCTGACTGCCACGTCTTCATTCTCGTGCAAGCATTCATGACTAAGCAGCGCCACGGCCACATGGCCCTGAGTGCAGCTGAGACCTCAGGACTGCTGCAAAGCTGGCCGGCACGGCCGCAGCCAGGAACAGGTCGGGTCGGGAGCAGAGCCATCATGCCCCAACCCCTGCAGACCAGCTGCGGCCCTGCGCCCAGCCTCCCCTACCTGCCTTGGGTTGGGGTATACTGGCTCTGGGCTGCTGTGGGCATCTCTGGCTGGCCTCCCCACCTGTCCCCCACCTACAGGTCTGGCTGAGCTGGCTGCACGCAAGTACAAACAGGCAGCCAAGTGCTTTCTGCTGGCCTCGTTCGACCACTGCGACTTCCCCGAGGTGAGGTGCAGGGTCCAAGGAGGGCCCTCGTGGGGCTCGTCATGGGAAACCTCCCCTGAAGGGGGCCCTTTTCTGGGGTTCGTGCCTTCTAAACCCACCCCATGCCTCCCAGCTGCTGTCCCCTAGCAACGTGGCCATCTATGGTGGCCTGTGTGCCTTGGCCACCTTTGACCGGCAGGAACTGCAGCGTAATGTCATCTCTAGCAGGTGAGCGGGGCAGCGTGGCCGGGCCCAGAGCCGGGTCCGCTGCCCACCCTTGGCCGGGTGGGGCTGGTCCTTCCCCGTCCTGCCTCCGCGTGCCTAGGCGCCTGCTGGGCATCTTTGGGCTGGGCCAAGGGCGTGTCTCTGAGCCCGATGCCCACAGCTCCTTCAAGCTGTTCTTGGAGCTGGAGCCACAGGTCCGGGACATCATCTTCAAGTTCTACGAGTCCAAATACGCCTCGTGCCTGAAGATGCTCGATGAGATGAAGGTGAGTACTGGCCGTGCTGAGCAGGTGGGGGGGAAGGGGGGCAGCCTGGCCTGACGGCCTCCCCCGCAGGAAAACCTGCTTCTGGATATGTACCTGGCCCCCCACGTCAGGACCCTGTATACCCAGATCCGGAACCGCGCCCTCATCCAGGTGAGCTGGGCAGGCAGGTGGGCGGCGCGGGCGGCCACGCGGGTGGCTTAGCTGGCCTGGCTCTGCAGTATTTCAGCCCCTACGTGTCGGCTGACATGCACAAGATGGCCGCAGCCTTCAACACCACGGTGGCGGCCCTGGAGGACGAACTTACACAGCTCATCCTGGAGGGGCTCATCAGTGCCCGCATCGACTCCCACAGCAAGGTGGGCGGGCCAGTGGGGGAGTGGGGCGGGCGGGCGGGGGCGGGCCCCACTGAGCCACACCTGTGCGCAGATCCTGTATGCCCGGGATGTGGACCAGCGCAGCACCACCTTCGAGAGGTCTCTGCTCATGGGCAAGGAGTTCCAGCGCCGCGCCCAGGCCATGATCCTCAGGGCGGCTGTGCTACGCAACCAGGTCCACGTCAAGGTGAGCATTGGAGTGCAGGGGGCGGCCAGCACTGCACACTCCCGCCGTAGCCTGAGCTGCCCTATCCCCACTGCAGTCCCCTCCCAGAGAAGGGAGTCAGGGGGAGCTGACACCAGCCAACAGCCAGTCTCGGATGAGCACCAACATGTGAGGACGGTCCCAGGACACCTGTGCCCCCCCCGGTCCTGCAGACTCGCTCCCAAGAGGAACCCCAGCTCAAATGCTGCCCCGCCACCCCCCCCCCCATGCTGGGCCTAGAAGGCAGGTGGGCTGCCAACTATGGTCCTTTCTCGAGGAGGGGCCTGCAGGGCTTGGCTGTGGGCTCCTGCCCCAGGGCAGACTGGGCACCCAGCCCAGCCCCTCTGTGCTGTCTGGGGCCCACGAATGGCTGCTGCACGGCTATTAAAGAGTAGGTTGAATGTGGCCCTTGACTCTGTCCCTTCCTGCTGCACAGGCTCTGGGCCAGGGCCTGCGAGGGCGGTGGGTGTCCTGGTCCTTGGATGTGATAGCCCCTCCCCGGCCTGGGCTGGGCTTGCTAGAAGCACATGGCCGGGGAGCTAGGCCCGTCGCGGCCTTGCAGTTTGTCTGCTGCCCTCTGCCTGGCCTGCAGTCCCCAGAGGCCCTGAGGGCAGCACAGCCCTGGCCAGGCTCCCTGGCAAGGGCTGTTGTCTTGGCTCTGCACGTGCACCTTTGCAACGGTTTATTGTTCGCTTTGAGAATAAAGTGTGAAGACGAGGCAGGTCTGGCCAGAGTAGAGCCTGCTCCCGCTGCAGCATTCCGGGCAGTGTGGGCTGCGGGAGGACCTGGCCTGCCCCCCGCCCTGCCCCCCCAGAGCAATAGCAGGAGGTTCCCTGAGTAGAGGCATGTCCTTGGGGGGGGGGGCGGTGCCCCCTGGTCGTCAGGCCAGGGCACCACCCACGACTTCAGAGAAGTTGCTGGGTGCCCCGGGTCCTGCCTGCTGAGGCTCCTGCAGTCCAGGCCGAGCCCCTTTCCAGGCCAGGGACTTCTCCAGTTTGGTTTTAAAGAGCAACCCATGACCTAGAAAAGACCCAAGGAGTCAGATCAGAAAGCTGAGGGTCCTGCTGCCCAGGGGTGGGGCTGAGGTTCGTGGAGGCAGGTGCCCCTCACCTGGGCAGTCCGCAGTCTCCTTGAAGGCCCGCTTCTTGCAGCAGCCGCGACACAGGTTAAACACACATCTGTTACCCTGGGTACAGGAGAGACAGTGAGCTGTGCACCAGGCTAGCAGAGTGGGGCGCAGAGGGAGGCAGAGTGGGCAGAGCCCACCTAGCCACCTGGGAGCAGCTGCCAGACACCTCTGTCCTGGATACAGCCCTGGGAAGGACACTGCCCTGGGCTGGTCCCCTCCCATCCCGGGACCAGGTGGGGTTGCGGAGGTTGGCCCTTCTCTGGGAAGCCTGGACAGTGAGGGAGAGGGCCTGCCCTGCCAAGGGTCACACCCGGGCTGACCCCTCAGCTGGGCGGCACCAGACGAGGGTTGGCACCTGCCACCCCGCAGTGGCTGTGCCCTGCGGCGACAGCCAGGAGCGTCAGCTCACCTTGGGGTTTCCGCACTGGTCACACTTGGCGTACTTTGCTGGAAGAGAGAGAGGTGCCGGTTGGTCACAGCAAGCCTGAGGTGGGCTATGGCCCAGACAACCCCAGAAGGTGTCCTGCTTGCTGAGGCCAGCCAGGCCTGGGGGCTCGGGGAGGGCCCACGTCGCATGGGCACAGTTCTGTTGGAAAGGGAATGAGAATAGGCGGGCTGGCCGCCACAGGGACACAGGGCTCGGAGCCTCCCATGGCGCAGGGGCAAAAGGGCCGAGAAAGCAAAGCCACGACTGGAGACCTGGGCTTGAAGCCCTGCCTCCTGCCTCCCCAGCTGCCTGGGTCCTAGGGGAGGGTGTGGGGGCTCCTGCTGCTGCTGTCTGCCGGTGCCTTCAGAGGGCCCTCTCGGGAAGCTCCCACCAGGCGGGGCAATAGGGGTAGCCAGCCTTGAGAGCCCAGACAGGCTGGCCCAGGGCACTGAGGGCCTCAGAGAAACCAGGGCAGCAGGCAGGGGCCTAGCCCTTCCAGTCAGACCGTCCCCTGGCTGGCGCCTCCGCCTGAAGGCTAAGCTCCTGGCCTAGCACACGACTTCATAGGGACTCAGAGGCCATCCGGGCATGGCCACCGCTGCTGGCCCAGGGTGGCTTCAGTGCCCCGCAGCCTATCCTGGTGGCCACGGGGTAGTGCCAGTCATGAGGCTGGTCCACAGCCTCGCCTTACACTGGGCAGACGTCCCCACGAGCATGCGGTGCCATGCTCAGGGAGGTGGTATGGCCCTGCACCGTCCCCCCAAGCATTTAGCCCTGGCTGTGGGGATGCGGGTGATGGGCTCCCACGAGGGCAGCGCTTACGTTTCAGAGAGGGGTCGAAGGTCTTGCGGGGGTTCCTCAGCTGCTTCTTCTGCTTGTTTTTGGACAGGGCATCCCCGCTGCCCTCCTCCTCCAGGGCCCGCTTGCTGCGGCCCCCGCTGTTCTCGCTCCCCTCCCTGGGCCTGGGGGTGGCAGGCAGACAGGGCTGGAGGACACCTTAGGGGGCCCACCAGCCTCGGCTACGTGGGTCAGACCAGCTGAGCTCCCAGTGGGGAGGGCCTGTGGGACCCCGACACCGATACATCCATAGGGCAGGTATAGTCGGGCACAGAGGTTTGAGGTGGGGTCTGCAGTCCAGGGCAGTCACCTCTGAGACCTCGACTCCAAGGACAAATCCACTGTCAGAGGAGCTGGGGACTCTGACAGGACGGGGCAGAGCCACCGGCACCTCCAAGGCTGCAGGGGCAGCAGGGTGGATCCCCTGCTGGGCCCTCCGTGACTGGACCCATTTCTGCCGTCCCCCATGCTGGGCCCTCCTGCTCACCCTGGCCGCAGGTAGGGCTGGCAGATCCAGTGTGACTGCGGCAGGTGGCTGGCAGTGGTCTCTCCCTCCTGCCTGGACATCTCCTCCTACAAGCAGAGTCCAGGGCTCAGGTCATAGCTGCCCCACCATGCCCTAGGCCAGGGTCCTGCCAGCCCCACACCTGCCAGGCACCTGGCACCGCAGCTTCAGCTCCTGGCTCACAGCTGCCACACCCTCCAGGGTCTTCACCTTGGCAAGCAGCTCTCGGAGCGGCTGGTGCACCTGCAGCCTGGGACAGGTGCCCCATCAGGAGCCCCCTCCCACACCAGCCCCCACACCTGCAGCCTGGGACAGGTGCCCACCAGGAGCCCCCTCCCATGCCAGCCCCCGCAGGCGCCAGCCTCAGGCCCAGCTCACGTGTGGGTCCACAGCGTGAAGA